ACTTGATTATGGTGTAAGATCCTTTTACTGTACTGTTGAATTTGGTTTGCTACTATTTTGTTGAGGATTTTTGCATCTATGGTCATCAGGGTTATTGACCTATAATTTTCTTTTCTTGTGATGTCCTTGTCTGATTTTGGTATGAGGATAATGCTGGCCTAGTAAAATGAGTTTGGAAGTGTTTCTTCCTTTTCTGTTTTTTGGAGGATTTTGAGAAGGATAAGTATTAATTATTCTTTATATGTCTGGCAGAATTCACCAGTGAAGCCACATCTGGTCTTAGAATTTTGTTTGTTGGGATATTTTTGATTACTGCTTCAATCTCCTTACTAGTAATTGGTCTGTTCAGATTTTCTGCTGCTTCATGATTCAGTCTTCATAGGTTGTATATTTCTAGGGATTTATCCATTTCTTCTAGGTTGTCCAATTTATTGGCATATAATTATTCATAGTAGTCTCTTATGATCCTTTGTATTTGTGTGGTATCAGTTGTAAAGTCTCCTCTTTAATTTATGATTTTATTTATTTGAGCCCTCTCTCTTTTTTCCTTGGTGAGTCTAGCTAAAGGTTTCTCTGATTTGTTTTTCTTTTGAGAAAACCAGCTCTTAGTTTCATTGATCTTTTCTATTGTCTTTTTAGTCTCTATTTCATTTATTTCCACTCTGATCTTTGTTATTTTCCTTCCTTCTACTAACTTTGGGTTTAGTTTGTTCTTCTATTTCCTTGAGGTGTCAAGTTAGGCTGTTTATTTGAGATCTTTCTTGTTTCTTAATGTCAGTGTTTGTTGCGGTGAACTTCCCTTTTAGAACTGCTTTTGCTGCATCCCATAAGTTTTGGTATGTTATATTTCCATTTTTGCTTATCTCAAGATATTTTTTGATTTTTCTTCTGATTTCTTCTTTGACTCATTGGTTGTTCAGTAGCATGTTGCTTAATCTCCACATATTGTGAATTTTCCAGTTTTCTTGTCCAGAATTTATGACTAATTTCATACCATTGTGGTTGGAAAAGATGCTTGATATGGTTTCAGTCTTCTTAAACTAAGACTTGTTATGTGACCTAAATTATGATCTATCCTGGAGAATGTTCCATGTGCACTTGAGAAGCATGTGTGTTTTCTGCTACTGTGGGATGGGATGTTCTGTATATGACTGTTGGGTCTATCTGGTCTAATGTGTCCTTTAAGTCCAGCGTTTTCTTATTGATTTCCTGACTAGGTGATCTGCCCATTGCTGAAAGTAAGGTATTGAGGTCCCCTACTATTTTTTTTTTTTAATTTTTTGTTTATTGCAGTAACATTGGTTTATAACATTGTAAAAGTTTCAGGTGTACATCATTGTACTTCTATTTCTGCATAGATTACATCATGTTCACCACCAAAATACTAATTACAACCCATCACCACACACATGT